CCCCGCCCCTCCCGTTTTTTTCTGGGGAGTTGGGGAAAAAAAGTTAGATGCCGGGGGGGGGGGGGGGGGGGGGGGGGGGGCTGGGATAACAAGGGTCGCCGTGTTTCCCCCCCCCCCCACTGCCCTCCCCAACGCGAAACTGGCTTCCTTTGCCCCAGCCTCAGTCAAATGTGAGGAGATGGCCGGGACTTTGTCCCGATTGACACCAATAAAGCAATCGGGGGGGCGGGGGGGTCATTGTACTGTCGTGGGGGTTAGTGCAGGGCGGGGCCAGACATGGCGGCTTTACAGCTTTAGGGTCTAGGCGGGGTGGCTGTTTGGGGCCAAACTCCACGCTCAGCTCTCCTTCTCCATGCCCAGGTGAGGAGACCTTTGGCCTGCTTGCAGTAAAGTAGGTACACACACGCATGCAGGGACACACATGTACAGATACACACGCCGAGAGAGAGAGAGAGAGAGACCTGAGGCCTCATTGACACTTTACAGACAAGAGGCTCCATGATCCCTGAGAATGGACCCTGCGGTGATCACAGTGACCGTTTCTCTGGGATGGATGGACCAGATCCAGTGTTAGATTCACCCAGCAGTGATTCATTCTCCCGCTCTTTGTAGCAGGAATTAGCCGCTCTCACCAAAATAAAAACTACATCAGAGCACCGAAATATCTAATTATCTGACTTAAGCTAAACAGCCTGCGGCCCTTAATGGAATAACAAACTCCTCTCATACGTCGTCATTTCCATCAATTTCATTTTCCTTGCATTGCTTCTGCTACGGAAACCGTACATTTCAGGTCATGTGCTATGAACGGCCAATCCCTGCATGATATGGATTCGGAGTGGCTCATTATTGGACGTGTCCCTGCCTTCTCCAATGGGGACACCGCATGCTTCCTCTTGGTGGCGCTGGTGCTCATGCCCTTACATCTTACCTTGCTGGAACTCAACTGCCAAAACTGACACTTAAAAAGATTCTTACCAAATATCATAAGGTATAAATGGCTGAACAGTAAAAACGACGACACACAAGGTTGCGCTACGTTCTTCCCCTTTATAGAGCTTTTCTTCATCATGTTTAAAGACGTCAGAGTAGCAGGAAGGACAAAAACGAAAAAAAAAAAAAAAAGATTCTTTGAAGTACAATAAAGGTCCAAAAGTTGAAGCTAAGGAGAGCAGGTTGAGGTTTGGGTCAAAGTCAGCGTCCCTCTGCTCCGCAGCGATCTCACAGCGGGAGCCCCAGATCTCCGCCGACACCGAAAGCAGCCGTAACGACCCGCAGGACCCCGAAAACAAACAGGCAGGGCCTGCCGGCTGAGAAGGGGGGAGGGAGAGATAGTGTCGTCTCCAGGACCCCGAGTGAGGGGAGGCTGTCACCCAGAGTGATGGACGGCAGGGCTGTAGGGCCGCGGCGGCGGATCGGGGAGCTGGGCTGCAGAGAGATAACCTTCACGAACCGGGGACCCTAAAAGTATTTTTTTTAAGGATTTGCTTGGCTCCTTCCACTGCTGAGCTCTTCAATAAAAGTTGTGGTGGGGAGCTCACTGGCATTGAGGCAGGGCCGGGGAATGGAGGCAGGGCCGGGGAATGGAGGCAGAGGGCCCACCAGCAGGAGACGCGGTCAGAGGAGGTGGTTCAAGAAGGTATGATATTTACATGAGCTGAACGAAGGTGTGTAAATGTAGTGGAAATTCAACTTTATAAGGTCAGAAGCCGCCTCTACTGTCCTTCCGGCTTCCATTACCATACATTTTGGGCTTGTTATTTGAAGTCAAGTGTTTAAAAGTCGAGGTCTGAAAAGACCCCGTTCGCTCTGGAGGTGTGAAACGACAGGGCAGAAACAACAAAATGCTAAGTATCCGTCCCTCCCCGGCAGGGGGGGGGGGGGGCGGCTCACCCTACAGCCCTGACCTCCCCGCCTCTAACACTCACAAGGACGAGGTGACGCCGCCACCGGGTCCACTCCCCCCCTCCCCCCCCCCAGGCAAGACTCCAGGGAGCCACATGGTTTGTTCTCATAGCCACAGGGTTGCAGGGATCTTTTATTTCGATCTCATTTAAAAGCATGTAGCAATACAGAATGGACAGCGTGTACAAGATCAGCAGCGCCTCACAAGCACAAATGGGAATAATAATAATTATAATAATAATAATAATAATAATAATAAAAAACAACAGGGGAAAATTAATTCTACTAAGACCTTCCAAGGTTGAAAACAATGTGCATTCTGTAGATAGTTTAAAAAAGGCATCAAATAACTGAAGTACAACACAAACATTACTGTTAAAGTACATTAGTGCTTCTTAGCTTAACGTGTTAACATGACCGGACAAGACGAACAAAGAGGTCAACGCACGTGGCCAATGAAGCAAACGTTAGCCAAGCTGAGACGGTGATCACCGGCTCCGCCTACAGGACAAGGACAGAACTTCCCACTGACCATAAACTCATCCCCGGTGACTGGTGTCATTACAGCAACAAGGCCGTTGAGGGAGAACTCAAATCATGCTGAGAGATGGCTGGCCCTCACTCGAGTAGCACAGACAGGCCAGAACAAGCTAATCTGAGAACTTGGGGGAGGAAAACAGTAAAATAAAATAAAGCCACGTTTAGTGCTAAAAGGGCAGTAAGCGTATCGACAGCAGCAAGGCGGAAACAGCTCGGTTTCTGCAAGAAAAGCACAGTGTTAAATGTTACGTTTTCAAGACTACAGTCATTCAGACTAACAGGAGAGACGGACAAAGCACCCATTTCCTGCAAGTAGCCGTGTGCAAACACTCGTGCAGTGAATACTACTGGAGAATGGCAGCCGTAAGATGTACATATACACTTTTTCCACCGCCCGTGACCGCAGTGTTTGAGAACATCGATCCCTTTCAGTGACTAACTGCTCACAACACTAATACTGGGGGTGAAAAAACAAATCTGGTGAAGACACGTGCAGATTCTGCGGGCAGGCCTTACTGTGTCGCACTGGGCCCGCGTTTGGGTAATCTGGGCACGGCAACGGTACGATAAACTGCTGCCCGGGCAATCGGGCCACCCTATCAACCCCTTATCAGCACTCGAGGTGGACTTCAAGCACCGTGACCCGAATGCACTGTAAGATCAATTCGACCACTTGCCGCAGTTAAGGGGGGGGGGGGGGGGCAGGCATGTGGTTCAACCAGCCCAAGGAAACGTATTCCAATGTGATATCAGGCCCAAGGGGGTCTGCCGTCGGATTCATTCTCAATCTCCCCTCCTGTTCCCCTTTTCATGCTGGCGTCTATTAGTGCCCTGAAACTCTGCGTTAGTGGCGTTACATCGTCCCTTGTTTTATAGCTACGGCCAGAGTGCACTTTAACGATAGCAAGCGGGGACTGGAAGGCTTACTCACTACAGCAGCTACAGGAGGGGAATCTCAGAGAATGGCTGACTACGAATTAAACGTTCCCATCGGAGAGAATATATATAACAATATATAACGAAAAAATAAAATGAAACAATGACCTTGCGATAAGAGGTCGTCTACAGCAAAGCCCACACTGGCATCCGTCGGAAGGGAGCGGAGGCCGGCCGCCAAATACACGGAAATATTAGCGGGACTCTCGCTTCTCCTGCTCAGCGGCTCCCCCTGCTGGACAACACTTAACATGAGCGAGACGCTCAGAGAAACTTCCGAACTCCCGAGCGCTTTTCGGCTCCGTAACACTCGAAGGTTGTTCGTTTTTACGTATTCGTTTTCAGTTAGCAGTGGAGAGGGGAGGGAACGGGACGACGAGGGCTAGGAGGTGGCGCTCTAATACAGCAGGATGCGGCGTTCGATGGCCTTCCGGCAGATGGGGCACTCGCTCATTCGGTCCCCGCACAGCTGACAGGTGCCGTGGCCGCACATGAAGATCATGTTCTTCAGCCGGTCCAGACACACCGGGCACATGGTCTGGGGGGGGAGACGGTCAGAATCACCATACAAGATGGCCGCAGACTGACGGAACTCAAAATTCACCAGGAAAAATATTTACTTTAATAGTAATATAAAAGTGCATAAATTCTAAAATGTTCTGGATAAAAGCGGCTGCTAAAGTATACTAATATCACAGAGGACCCACCTTTTTATTTACACTAGATTTAGCGTCATTAGTATTTTTTCCCGAACGTTAAACACAAACGCAAAGTACTCGCAATTCCACATTCAGGTATTTTAAACCCTCTGAATGGACTGATGCTGTATGGTAGCGCCCCCCCCCAACCAGAGTACGAAGCTCGATCTTCCGGTTGCTTCTGTACGTGAGCCACTGCCCTGCCTACCTGCTCTTTGATGTCCTGCAGCTGCTGCTGCAGCTTCTGCACGTCTGCGTTGACGTTGGTGTTGTCCTTGTCTCTCTGCAGGGCAGCGATGTTTCCGCTGGCTGGGGGGAGGGTGAAGACGCCTGTTAGACTGGAGTTGGGACCAGAGTGTCACCCGCCAGAGATTTTAAACCCCTTCCCCCCTACAACGGCCAAGGAGGATCAGCCGTTGGATGACTTGGGGCTCTCAAGCCCAGGTGCCTGCAGAACCACAGGCCGACTGACACCTTAGATACGCGTGCGAGTCCGACGGATTCGGTGACCGTCACCCGCAAACCCAACAGCGCCCATCCTGAGATTCCTGAATCTAGCCCTCTGGTCCAAAATCTAGACACAACCTCGACCATATGCGCAAAAGAAATACAGTTTTGGAAAAATAAACTGTGACTGTGCTTGTAAATAATGACGTTCACCTGCAAAGCAAGGAAGAGCATACATGTGTGTATAGAAGGCAGGGGTCTTGGAAACCCCCAGGCCAGGGAAAATTCTGCCCAGGGGAGGGGGAATACTTACACCAACTCAGGGCCAGATTGTTGGGCTGGAGCAGGTCCTGCGAGCTCCCTGCCAATGAGCTAGAACCCCCTGCTGGGAATCAACCAATTACAGAGTTACGTCAGCATGCCAGCATGGGTCAGGAGCCCCGCCTCCACACCACAGACTCCGCCCCCACCCTGCAGCTCGCCGAGGTCTGGCTGACGAGGCGGCTCGGAAAGGATTCAGCAGAGGAAGAGGGCTCGGGTTCGATTAGAGCAAAGAGGAGAGCAGGAGATGGCGGAGGATTTAAAGGGCCGTCAGTAGTTAAAAAGCAGCTGGATTCCTGACAGAGCTCGGGACACTTGTGGTGCCCCGACTGCAACACGGCACGAGTGATGGATGGCCAACTCCCCGGACGTGTGCTAGCTTTACCACCAGGAGGCAGAAGAGAGCAGCGGCAGGAGCTAGGAAACACCCACGACAACATGGAGGAGTGAAGGGCCGCAGAGCATCACGAGACAGTAAAAACTTCAGCCCTGTGCTATTAAAAGAATACCAAGATGTTGTTTAATTACAGAATTATTCTCCTATAGCATAATGTGATATGTTGCGATTTATGTTAATAGACTAGTATTGATTTATATGGAATGAAGCTGTCTGATGTTTCACCTGTGCATACCTTAAAGGGAAAGACATAACATTCAATAAGCACAAGGATACTGTAGGTATAGCGCCCTCTAGCTGCTGGGGGCACTTCCTGCTGTGACAAGCAAACTCACTGGACAAATACATTACTTCTGCTAAGAGTGGTGAAAAGCTTAGACAGCAAATCAGCTCCTGACTTTTTTCAGCGCAAACTGTGGTATTTTTAATACACGCTGCGTGGCTTAGGTCATCGTTTCAGATGAGATGCATGTTTACGTGGCGCGGGAATGCACTCCGTCTTAGTTAAGCATCACGCGCCTGTAGGAGGCAACACTGGAGACCGAGTTCCAGACCGGACACGGTTACGTGTGTGTGTGTGAGAAAGAGAGAGAGAGAGAGAGATAGAACGTACAACAGCTTCCCTTTTAAAGAGAAATCACAGGAGAAAAGGGGTTAGGCCTGAAGTTACAGCTGAAATGAAAAGCCAAGCCGTAAAACATTGAAAAAAAAATTAAATGAAACCCAAAATAAATCAAAACAATTAAACAAGCTTTTCGCCACAGTGTTTGGGTTAGAGAATAATCTTCAACTCTGAATCTGCATGTGGATAAAAGTGGATAAACTAATGATTTACCAGTATTTTAGATTTTGTAAAGCACAATAACTAGGGTTAGGTGTGTGCCTGAAGTACTGATTTATTTGGATCTTATTCCAGACAGACAGACCTATAAATACATTTCAGTGATTGCAGTAGAACTGTGATATTCCTCCAAACCCTATATAACAAGAGAAGTGCTGTGCAATGAGGGGGCAGATACACAGAAGAGGGTGGAATGTAAAGGGCGCATGTGGAAGGTTCACTCACTAATGTCTTCATCAGCGGCCTGCTCCTCCATACCTTTCCCTCCGCAGCACAGAACGAAAGGCGTGCGGCGTTCCACTACGGCACGACACTGCACGCACTTCTTCATCAGGCTGGCGCAGTCTGTGGGCCACACGCAACAGAGAGCGTCAGCCAGTCGCGCGACACGTGGCAGGCCGGGTCAGCCAATCGCGCAACACGTGGCAGAGTAAGTCAGATCACAGAGCATGTAAAATATATTCGACAACTGAGCCTATAGAGAACACAGACAACGAAGAGACAAGTAACGATGTCCAACGATCAAAAGATGCATATTTTCCCAGGTGAGGAAAGGCAATAGATTTGCCGTCAGTTACAGAGGGCACTGCTTTCCATACGGGTGGAGAGTGCTGAAGTGCTGAGGGCTGATTTCTGTCAAGTAGCAGGTAACATAGCAGGTACCATAGCAGGTACCATAGCAGGTACCATAGCAGGTAACATAGCAGGTAACATAGCAGGTACCATAGCAGGTACCATAGCAGGTACCATAGCAGGTAACATAGCAGGTGCACCATCAAGTGCAACAATTCCTTTTGAGGCAGGATCCCGCTGCACGTCACTGGCTGCCAACTCCATTACAAAAGAACCCAAGAACATTAGCTCACTTGGTCATGGTTGGCCATGAGGACTCAGCTGTCTGCTGTACCGTATGCAAGCACTTGAGCTAGACTACTCTGGTGAACATTCATCTGCCCTGGAGCTGACTCCTTAACACAGAGTTCATCTTCGAAGATATGCACTGGCTGCTAAAGGTCGATATGCAACATTAAACAGATTTATCTTCGGCCAGCCGAATACTTGCCCTAGGTTTATTTCCTAGAAACATGCTGTGGAATGAGTACACAAACAAATTAACCTATGTCGAGAGGTCAGAGCTGGCTCCAAACATGACAGCCACTGTTGGTTTTTCTTTTATTGGGTGGAGACATACAAAATATTTAAAATGGAGACTGCCCTCATGTGATGACACCGATTGGTTGACTGGGAAGCAAGTCATTTAAAAGGCTTCCTATAGGCCGGAAAGGCCACCACAGCCTCCAACCAGAAACGAAGACAGTCCAGTTAGTGGGAATCAAGGCCCAGGTGAGAGGGTGGAGTATCTGAAGACAGGGCTCATCAGGAATAGAGAATCGACTGGGAAACTGTCAAATGAAGAGAGCAGCATGAGGAAGTCCCTAGCGCAGTGTTTCCCAATCTTGTCTTCAGGGATCCGCAGACAGGCCACATTTTTGCTCCCTCCTAAATCCTGTGTACTGTCTACCAAGGGAGCTGGGAGGGAGCAAAAACATGGACGGCCTGTGGGTCTCCGAGGACCACGGTGACAAACGCTGCGCTAATGAAACGCACACCTGCTTGGCAGACCTAATCCCACCACGTGCGCCGTGCATGTTCTCTGTTCAGAATCGGCTCCACTTAACTATCTGACAATAAAAAAAGGACACTAGAGCTGAAGCTGAAACAGCAGAATATTATTCAGCGCTTGCAAAACAAACTTGCAGTAAACGGCCTGGGTGACACACACAGGACGCAGCGCGGTTGCCAGGTGTGCCCGCTGGCACTGCGCGGAGCCGGGTGAGAAGGATGGGCCACCGCCTTGTGGGACAGCGAGTGAGGTGGCACTCGTCGAGGTGCCGGAACGTCTATTAGACAGATGTGGGATAAGAACAGCGCACACAGATAGGGTGGGGCAGCACAAAAACGTGGGGGGTAGGGGAGGGTACATCATCATACTTACTCTCACAGGCACACATGTGGCCACAGGGCTGAAAGAGAACGGCCGCCTTCTTATCCGAGCAGACCACGCACTCCTCGATCTGCCGACACAGCACGTTACGTCACGTTACGTTACGTTACGCGCTGATACACGCGCCGGCCAATCACGTAAATTACAATAACGCACACAATCACATATCGGTCTGTCAGCAGAAGTAATCAATACATGATACTCTTAATTCATGTAGACCTGTATAAACAGACAAAAAAAAAGTCATTCACAAAAAGTAACTCCCACAAAAAAATGTTTGAAGCTATTTATCTGGGTAGTACGTGTATATCTGTTCAGAAAAAAAACGTAATTCAGCACTAGAACAAATGAACAATAACATAAAAAACATTACTTTGATCTATTGGATGGCTAGATGAACACCACATCAGTTCCCAAACTTCTCTTCAGAAGCACCCGATCATTCCATGTATGTCACATTATGAAACTCAGCTTGCTTATTTAACTCAACTAGTTTAAAATGTCAATGAGGTATCGATTAGCCATACGAGGTGTGCAAGAGGTTGTGTCAAAAAAAACACTTTTTTAATTAGGTGGTTGCTGCAAAAAGTGGCGTGAATTTAGGAAGGGTCTTGAAATGGCTAAGCTAACACACTTTGATGGCTCATCATCAATACACCAACACGAAGATGGTTTAAGCATCACTTTGTATAACTTCTGCACAATACAGCAAATACACAAACACACGCTGAAGATGTCTGACACACGACAGAACCCACAGACAGACACACAGACAGACATCGGGTTGCCATACCTTGGTGCGAGACTGGACCTGCTCCTTGCAGATGAGGCACTTCTTGACGCGCGGCGAGCAGAGCGAGCAGGTGGCGATGTGGCCGCAGGGCCCGAACAGTGTGTCGCGCTTCATGTCCGAGCACACCATGCACTCCTCCAGTGTCTCGCAGGTGCTGTTTAGTGACGGGCTGCGCGACCCCACCTGGCCACTAGGGGGAGGCATCAGGGAAGAAGCGGAAAGTGGTTGTGGTGGAGAATCGGCAAATTATGTTCACTTTAAGTTTACTTTGCCACACTCCCTGACTTGCATTAAAAACTAGGTGAATGGCTAAAATATATATTAAAGAACACCCACCTCAACTGAATATTAATCCAGGAGATTTATTCCTACGAGATGTATTCCTATGATATTTTTGCACACATTCTTAACTACAAGGAAATAAATGGCCCTGTAACCTTTGATTAAGGGTATACAACAGAAATCCCCAGTTACACAAAAAACGGTTCTCCTGGACGCTACAGACGGCACGCTGCTCGTTCTACATATTTGTTCTAATTGCACCACTAGGTTTGTGGATCCCACTAATCGACTCGTCACCTTAATTAGGCAAATCAGGCGACAGATTATATAAAATCGGAGGGCTGGGAATGCCTAACAAGCGGCTCGAGATCTGTCGTTCGGGCACAGACCGCGCTCTAACGAGCGGAATCATGATTCGTAATTGTAATAACGGCAATAAACGGCGAGACTGGCGGCGGTCCTGAGAGGGCTCTCTGGCTGATGTAGCTGCAGATAATGCTGGCAGTGGCTGGGCAGAAGCCACGGGATGTAAGGGGAGAGAAGCAGGGAGGCAAGCGAGCGGAAAAGGGCCTCCATCCGCTGATACTCGTCCCCGCTAATCGTCTCTGAGCTCGGGGTCCGGTCCTCCCCCGGCGAGACGACGTGGCACTCGAGTGCCGACTGGTCTTTAGCGTGGCGGGTTTCCTGTGGGCTGCGGCACTGGCCCCGTCATGCCAACTCGGAAGAACGTGCCACTATTCCTGGCTGTGGATAGCGGGGTGGCTAGCCGACAACCTCAGCCGCTAGAGGGGATCATGTGACCGCTAAAACATGGCTGCCCGCATCAAGCATTCTAAGACGCGACTGCCCTCTGGGCCAGATGGTTAGACGCCGCGAGCCTGGCTGGATGGAGGAGCCCGGTGTGAGATGGCGGAGCCTCTTACCTGCTCTTTTCCTTGTGGCACTTGGCCAGAGCCTTGCAGAGGCTCGGGTCGGGGCACAGGTCCAGCGGTGACTGACCCTTCTTGTTACGGATGGTGAGATCGGCGCCGTTGGCGGCCAGGAAGCAGGCGATCGAGGCGGCGCTCTTCTTCTCAGCCCCCTGGGTGCCCAGACCCATAATCAGCTGCAAAGGAGAAGGGGAGCGGAGACACGGGGGACAGGATTAGGTTTCCACGGTGATGAAGCCCCACCCCCTGGCAGATTCCTAAATGGCAGGGATGGTGGTATGGACACCATGAGATGGAGAAGGTGTTCAAGGGCGGACGAGGAAGTGAAGGAGACGTCGAGGAGAAACAGGGAGGTGCCCATAGGTAGTTTTCGACAGGGGGGGTTTCGGTGGGAGGGCTCACCGTGTTCTTCGACGGCTCCCAGGGCTCCACCTTGCTGACGTCCTGCATGTCCTGCAGCTGCCGCAGCTGGGACAGTGTGTGGTGGCGCAGGGCTTCATGCAACGGCGTGTCCCCGTCCTTGTCCTGGACATCCAGCTTGGCCTCGGCCCGTACCAGCAGCTGGGGGACAGAGACGGGGGCTTGAGACACGGCGCTGGGCGGGGAGCCGTCCGACTCCCACGCTCCGCTCGGGAAGCGCTTCCGTCCTCAAACACGTGCTTCTCCTGGGATTTACCAGGAACCGCTGAAGAACCACGTCAGTGGCCTCCGGAGCAAGCAGGTTGCATTTCTAACGTGACTATTCTGCGTTTTGGGTTCTGCCACTCTGCTCCAGAGCTCTGAGTACAGGTGCATTTCTCAAGTTTACTCACAGAAAACCATTTTTTTAACCAGTGATGGGGACATCACTCACAAAAGTAATCCATTAAAGACAGTTCGGATCCAGAAAGTAAAAATCCAGACCAAGGTTTTGTTTTAACCAACCAGTTGAGTACTCTGTGATTGTGACTCTTTATACTCAACTGGTTGGTTTAAACAAAACCTTGGTCTGGATTTGTACTTTCTGGACCTGAACTGTCTAATGGATTACTTGTGTAACTTCCCCAACACTGCGTTCAAGTTTACTTACAATGCAGACAGAAGTTCCTTAGAAAGACTAAAGACAAACAAAAATAATATATATTTGTTACATTTACAGAAAAGAAAGCACATGCTAGAATGCACAGGTCTCCACACTCCGTGCTGAGCGCTGGGCATGGCAACTTAATACACGACGACAGACAGAATAGACAGACAGAGACGCGCGCCGGAACCACCTTCAGCCGGGGGTCGGATTAAACGCGCTGTACGAGCATCACTTAGGCCGCCCCCCAAACACCCGGACGTCAGAGCGAAGCAGAAGCCAGCCTCCCCGAAGCAGCAGGGGTTAAGAGCCAAGGCATCCGACCCCGAGCTGCGCCTGCACCGTTACCACGGGGACGGAAGGATGCGCGCATGCAACTGCACCGCCCACTCGCCAGTGGTGCATGCTGGGATGCCTTGCCCGACAGCGCCCCCCTGGATCCTCAAGGAGACGAGTCAGCCCTGACTCCGGCAAACTCCCGGAAGGACAGCGTGGTGGAGTGTATTCAGGAGCGCACACACATGCATACACCTCACTGCGGCCACGCTCAGCGACCTGAGCACCTCCCCTCATACGACCCGCCGACACGAGGAGCAGTGAGGACAATCTCCACCCATGAGGACAGCACTCCCTCTCTCCCTAATGCCAGGACGCCACAGAGATATTGCCCCGTCCTCTGAGGGGTAGGGAGGTGCAGTTCCCTTCACGTCCAGAAGATGGCGCCAGCTGGGTAACCTCTCTGTGACTTCCTGCTGGGCTCCACTGCCTTCCCCTTTGGATAACATTTTCTCTGGCACTGCACCAGTTTCATCTGCGGGGCTAATTCCATTGCGGGAGTGCAGAGATTCCGAATTAACCCTGTGCCCTCTCCTCCCCCCTCCCCAACCCCCCCTTTGCAGAAGCGAGCAGGGAGAGATAGATAAGACGATAACTAGATAGCATCTTCAATTAAACGCTGGGGGTCCGAGGGAGCTTACCCTGACGATCTGGGTGTGCTGTCGCTCCACTGCCAGGTGCAGGGCGGTCTGCTGGTTGACGTTCTGAATGTCCAGGCTGGCGCTGCCCTGCAGGGGAACCGCACATGGTTAGGGTGACATCGGTTCTCATGGCGGCGCCACTGAGGCACGCGCGGGTCGGGCATGATGCAGGGGCGGCTAAAATCAGCCTTTAAAATAAAAACAGGAAGGATGCAGCGTGGTCTCACGGGAGCGGTAGAGCGCCTAGGACCGGATTCGCGATCTCTGCGCAGAACGGGAGCTGGGAGACATCGGTCCAGCGGGAGCCTGAAGCGCGAGCATGTTCGACTGTGTGTGACTGTGTGTGGGAAGGTGTGGGAGAGCCCCGTGTGTGTGTGTGTGTGTGTGTGTGTGTACTGGCAGTCCAGTGCTTTGCGCCCTGGTAACTCTGATTGGGAACTGAAAGAGGGTCACAGGCCCTGCAGACGGGACCGGACCAGTACCAGTGTGAGCAAAAAGAGAGCGACAGACAGTTTATAACTCGGGTCAGGGCGGGGGAGGGTGATGGCTCCTCACCCGGGAACTTCCGACTGGCAGAGGAATGATAGCATGGTGGGGGAGGGGGGGGTGAAGGGGGGGCAAAGAATTAATGAATCAAACCAGGACTGGTGTGAAATAACATGACTGATTCCTCCCGTTGGGAGTTAGACAGCTGATGGGGAAAGGACGGCTGGAGACCCGGGGAGTGCGGAACAGCGCCCCCCCAGCATCGGCAAATCTGTCACTCAGCGTTCCTAGGAAATGGAAGCAGAGGGATGGGATGGGGGGGGGGGGGGGGGGTTGATGCTACTCTGCTGCAGCATTTCTACATTAGAGATTCAGCACAGCGCTGGAGGTGTGGGAGAGGGGCCAGATCTNGGGCACCAGCTGTATGTGACTGTAGCGAGCTGTCAGCTGTGCTTTCCGCTTTTGGGTCGAGCCAAACGAACACCTAGGAATAAAAACGAAAAGGGATACAGGACAGCGACCAGCGGAAAAACCAAAGCGTGGAGAGCGAGAACGTGTGCGAGCGTGAGGAGGAGGAGGAGAGGGAGAGAGGAAGATCCCTCAATTGGTCACGGTCTTTGCTTTAGGCAACCGCTCACCTGGAACCCCACCGAGCCCAATCTCACCCACAAGACAGCACCCTAACCCTGCTGAAGGCGTGTCGACACCAGAAAACCTTCCCCAGCACCAATCGAACGTCACGATTGGATCATCTCAGTATGAGCCTCACCCCGCTAAACTCCGCCCCTTTGACAGGAGGCAATAGCTGGATCTGGATGGACATGCCGTCCAAAGAAGTCTCCTGGGATGTCTCGCCCGTACTGAACGCGACCCGCCAAGCGGACCCCCCCGATTCCCATCACATGACCCCCCCGATTCCCAGAATCCTCGCATGCCGGGTAGCATGGGAGGCTCGCATATTAACGCTGCTGCATTGCAGGTTGCGCCGCACCCGGGAGGGTATGACAGGCGGCCACCCCTGTCTGTCACACGCCGGCCAACACGTCTTATCTGGGCGGGGGGGGGGGGGGGGGGGTTGATGCTACTCTGCTGCAGCATTTCTACATTAGAGATTCAGCACAGCGCTGGAGGTGTGGGAGAGGGGCCAGATCTGTGGAGCTGCAGGTGCGTGCGGTGCGAGCGGTGCGAGCCCCACCTGGTGCACCAGCAGCTCAGCCACCTCCACGTGGTTGTTGAGGGCCGCTAGGTGCAGCGCCGTGTAACCGTCGTCCTTCTTCTCGTCCACGATCCAGGGCCGCGGCAGCTTGGAGAGCAAGACACGCATAGCGCTGAGAGAGAGAGAGAGAGGGAGAGAGGGAGGGAGAGAGCTGTCAGTGTGGGAGTTGGTCCTGGACGGAGGAGCTGGCCTGATCATCCGACCCATGAGACAACGGGAGAGTTAGTGCTGCCACGGCAACGCCACTGCCCCCCACCCCCCCATCAAGGCCCTGCCCCATCAGGGTGATAAAAGGGCGAGTGGCTGTGCCCCCTCTGTGATGCCACCGCCCCCCCCCTTAATTCCTCCATCCACTCACCGTCTAATTGGCCATTTAATTAAAACGATAAATCTTTCCTAGGTGAGCCATTACGCCCACGTGTCCTCAGAGGCGGGGTGAAAGCCATGTGAGATTTACCCCCCCCCTCCCCGGCCAACAACGGGGGCGTGACCAAGGTCAACCCTGCCCCCACTCTTCACCAGCAACGACACTGCGGATACAGACTGCCCTGCAGGAACTGCTGGTGGTT